TGTGGGTGCAGGGGCCCAAACACTTGGGCCATTTTCTACTGCTTTTCCAGGCCATGGCAGAGAGCTGGATCAGAAGTGGAGCAGCCGGGACTTGAACCAGTGCCCATATGGGATGCCGGCACTGCAGGCGGCGGCTTTACCCGCTACACTACAGTGCCAGCCCCCCACATATTTTCATTTCCCTTCTGCTTACTTTGGATTCAACTTGTTCTTATTTTCTAGTTCTTTTCTCTCTTTTTTTTTTTCTTCAGAGATAGTGAGAGAGAGACAGACAACAGAATTAGCGAGAATAAGTCCCTATCCACTGGTTCATTCCCCCAAATGCCTGCAGTGACCTGGGCTGGGCCAGGGCTGAAGCTGGGAGCTGGGAACTCACTTTAGGCTTCTGACATGGATGATAGGAATGGGCCATCATGCTGCCTTCCAGGGTTTGCATTAGCAGGAAGCTGGTGTCTGGAGTCAGAGCTGGGTATTGAACCTAGGTACTCTGATATGAAAAGATGGTGTATTAACTGATGTCTTAACCTCTAGGCCAAACATTCACACTTATTTTCTAGTTTCTCAGGGAAGAAAGCTTAGCTCATTGGTTTTAAAGTCATATCTCTTTAATGGAATAGTTCAAATTTATTTTTGTTTTTCAAAGCTAACCTGCATCCTACAATTTTTGATATGTCATATATACATTTTATTCAAAACATTTTCTTGATTCTTTATTTCTTTTTTGGCCTATATAGATTTAGAAGTACACATTTAATTTCTAGTACCTGAAGATTTTCTAGATATTGTCCTATTATTTATATCCAGTTTAGTTCTGTAGAGGTCAGACAATAAACTTTATACGATTTGAACCGTCTTTAAATTATTATGCTTTGTTTTGTGGCCAAATAATTTACTTGGTAAAGGGTCCATATTCCTTGAAATTGTGTAGTTGCTGGGTGAGTGTTCTATAAATGCAAATTAGGTCAAGTTGGTTGATAATGTTGATCAAGTCTTCTGTGTCCTTCCTAATTTATTCTTTCTGATTTATTCTTTCAATTATTGAGAGGAGCATTGAAATCTTTAGCTACAATTATATATGTCCATTTTTACTTTTAGTTATTTCTTTGAAAATTTTAATTTTATTTGAAAGACAGAGAGAGACAAAGATCATCTATCTGTTGTTTCTCTCCCCAGGTGCCAGCAACAGCGGGGGCTGGGCCAGACTGAAGTTGGGAACTCAAGCCAGGTCTCTCACACGGGTGGCTGGGATCCAAGTTCTTGAGTCATCACTGTTGCCTCCCAGGGTGCCCAGCAGTATCGAGCCAGATCTGAAGCAGAAGTGGGACTTGAACCCACGTACTCTGATATGGGGTGTGAGTGTCCCAAGTAGGGTCAACTGTTGTGCCTAATGCTCACCCCTTACTTTCAGTTTAATTAAAGCATACAGGGTTGTTTTTTTTTTTTATTTTAACCTCTGAGATGATTGTAGTATGCAGTTATAGAACACTGCTCTAAATCAATAGTTCTCAAACCTCAGTGTGCACCTAAGAATTCTAAGGGAGCTTACTAAACAGATCGCTGAGCCCTACTCCCAGAGTTTCTGGTTCAGTGTACCTGGGGTGAGGCCCAAGAATCACTGACTAAGCCAAAGTTCCTCAACCTTGCTGCATGTCAGAAACACCTAGAGAGCTTTAAGAATCTGGATGCACAGGCCACATCCCAGCCAACTAAATTTAGGATCTGTATGACAAGAGGGGGATTAGCGGGCATCAGTATCCTTTAAAGTTCCCTTATCTGGGGGCCAGCATTTGGCACAGCAGTTGATGCTGTCTGGGACACCCACATCCCATATTGCAGTGCTTGGCTGGAATCCTGGCTACTCCATCCACTTCCCACCAAGCTTCCTACTAATGCACATCTTGGAAGGCAATAGGTGTTGACTCAAGTACTTGGATCCCTACCACCTAAGTGGGAGATTCGGATTGAATTCTGGATTCCTGGCTTCAGCCTGACCCAGCCCTGGCAATTGTGGACATTTGGGGAATGAACTATCCTATGGAAGATATCCTTCTCTCTCTCTCTCATTTCTTTGTGTCTCTCTGCCTTTCAAATACAATGAAAACAAAAAAAAAATATATAAGTTGATAAGTTTAAAAATAATTCTAATAAATAGACAAGATTGAGTATCTTTGTTCCACACTAAATTATCAAGTTGCCAAGAAAAGTCTTTGGTTCTCATTACCAACACTTCATAATTGCCCATGGTAAAAATCACTGTATATGGGGCCGGCGCTGTGGCGCAGTAGGCTGATCCTCGGCCTTCGGCGCTAGCATCCCAAATGGGCACTGGTTTGAGTCCCAGCTGCTCCACTTCCGATCCAGCTCTCTGCTATGGCCTGGGAAAGCAGTGGAAGATGGCCCAGGTGCTTGGGACCCTGCACCCACGTGGGAGACCTGGAAGAAATTCTTGTCTCCTGACTTCGGATTGGCGAAGCTTCGGCCATTGTGCCCATTTGGGGAGTGAACCAGTGGAAGGAAGACCTTTCTCTGTCTCTCCCTCTCACTGTACTCTACCTCTCAAATAAATAAATAAAATCTTTTTAAAAAATCACTGTGCAGAGCTGGCAAGCAGGATGTAGTGTTCAGAGGTAGGGCAAGGGGTTTCAGCTTCTCTTCCTCTGCTGCCAACTTGGAAGTTTCCTTTTTGTAACACGAAACCAATATATCTTGCCCATTTCCTAGAAGATAGAAAGGTTCTGACAACAAATAACACTATCTTAATCATCAGAAAAAGAAAAAATTCTATTAACTAAAGAAATATTTTCAAATCCAAATCACTTTAGTTTAATGACATTATTTTCCATAATTAGATTTTATACATAGTTTCTTTAGAGAAGGAAAATAGTAACTAATTATGGGGGTACCCTTTCCCCTACCTAATTCTTGCAGGGCAATTCATGTGTAACAGAGGTATGTTCCAAACAACCTTTAACAGCCTTTCCAGCAGTAAAGCCATTTAAAAAGCATCTTTTAATTTTCCATTAACCCTCCCATTTTTCCTTCATTTCATCATGCGCAGGGACTTCAACCAAAGAGAAACTATCCTGGCAGAAAAATTAAAATAAACAGCAGTGACACTCTAAACAATAGCCTTCTACTCTTCTTCTCCCTCTCTTTCTAGCCCCTCCCCCACTCCCTCCTCCTTTTTTTCTTTTAGTTGGTAGAGTAACTTTATTCACATTACAAATCATATCATGTTTATGACAATCACATAAGGTAGACAGAACATGTTTTACTGACCACATTTTTAGGCTGAAAAAACTAATGCAGATGAACAGAGATGCCACGAGAGACTAGCCTATAACACAGGCAAGCAGAATTTTTTCCAATCAAGGGGAGGGAAAACAGGCATAACATGTAGGCAGGAAAACCCAAGCATCTTCAGACAGCCCCAGGAGCCACTGTAGAGTCTCACAGGCAAGGGCTCTAAGAGGCACAGGGAATGCTTCGAGATGAAGTCATCTAGTCCATCAGAGCCACTTTACAAAAGGGCAAACCAGCCTGCCCTAGCCAGCCACAAAGGGTGAAAAACGTCCAGTATAGACAGACGGGAGACCGGAATTCTGGCCTAACTGTACTACCAGGCTTCAGACAGACCTATGTAGCCATCAGCCTACAGACCCTGGCACTTGCGTATCCCACCAGCATTTCAAACTTGTGTCCAAAAGCATTTTGCCTTCCTCCCTTCTCCTGTGGCATCCAGCTCAATGAATGCCCCAGAGCAGGATCCTGGGATCAGCACTCTCCATCTCCCAGAGTTACCAAGTTTTAAAATAAATCTTTCTTATAAATCCTTCTGCTCCTACCCCTTTGCTCTCCCTGGCCTGGGTTAAGTTACTACAGTTGTCTAATAGATCTCTTGCCCTGTTTCAACCTATTTGCCACTCCAGCAATTACTACAAAGAGTTTATAAAACAGAGATTGCATATCGTTGCTTTATTTGTAATTTGTTGGCTCTCCACCATCACAGGTTCAAGCCGCAAATCCCAAGCCGCCCCAGCCTGGGTATGACTTGGCCTCTGCCCTCTGCTCACACTTTGTCTTTCACCACTCCTAACTTTTTCCAAGCTCAGGTTTTGTAGTTTTTCCAAGGCCACCTTTGACTTTGACCACTAATAGTTCACTCTCCCTGGAGGTGCCCCCCCCCCCTTGCCTTTCTAAAATTAACTCACCCAACATTCAGCTCAGGCTGGAATTTTTCCTGGCACCCTTTTTATTACCTCCCCTAGATACTCTCATAGCATCTTGTGAAAACAAAAGTCACTATTCCCCCTGAATTGTGTTTGCTCACATATCTGTGTCCCTCACTAAACCGTGAACCGTGGATTATCAGGGACATTGTCCAATACAGGATTTGGTATTAAATATTCATCTAACAAATATTTGAGGATCTATTACAAATGCTGTAGATGTAAAATGAACAAAGCAAAGGCACCATCAACTGGGAGGTAAAGCCTAAGAAAGCCTAAGAGAACACAAGGTGCTATCAGAGAATTAAAATAAACCATGATATGAAATGAATGAAGGGCTCTCTAGATTGGGAATGTCAAGTTCCTTCCCGGTAATTGACATATCAGCGGATAGGCAAATGCCAACAGGAAGCCCTGAGTTTCAGAGACAAAAGTATTCCGGTAGGCAGGGATACCAGTAGCAAAATCTAGAAGTCATTGTTTACAGCGTGGAGAAGATGTGGAGACAGGGACAGAGAGAAAGGCAGGGGCCAGAGTATGTGAACTCTGTAGGCCAGATTTTTGGTTTTGTCCTATGTGTGATGAGAGCGACCAGAATTCACTTGGATTTTGAAAAGATCTCTCTGGGACCATGTGGCTTAATGGGCGGACAGAGAAGCTTGGGGGAGAGGAGCCTTGGGGCAGTTTTGGAGAAAGCGGACGGATTTAGGGTGTATGTACACGTAAGCGCGAGGGTGGCCAGGACCCACGGACGCGCAGATGGCATGACCCGTCCCTGGGTCGCTAATGGGGAAGCCAGCACTGAGCTCAGTCATTTCTCTCCAACGACCGCCTCGACAAAGTCCCTTCGCCCGGCCGGGCTCGGGCGGCGGAGAGTCGAGGTCTGACGGCCACAAGGCGACACCCCGGGACTCGAGCCGCGGCAGCCGGCCAGTCAGGCCCGGGACGCGCCGAGCGCGTGGCAGCCGGCACGAGCCCCACGCGGGGGTTTCCGCGCCCGGCGGGCGGGGCCGGAAGAGGAAGTCGCAGCTGCTGTGGCGGCCCCAGCAAGCAGCGGCGGTCCCCAGAGAGCCCGGCCGCCTGCCTCCGCCCGGCTCCACAACCGAGGCGGCGCCGTCGACGGACCCGGAGCCCCCTGCTGCCGACGTCCCGCGGCGTGATGGGGCTACCGCGGCGGATGCCCTCCGCAGCGGCCGCCCTGCTCTGGGGCTTCCTGGTCTCGCTGGTAAGGGGGCGGACGGGCGCGAGCCTCCCCGGGCGGGGCGGGGCCGGGGCCGGGGCCGCTGCCCTCGCCCTTTCTCCTCCCCACCCCCTCGGCCCCTGCCCGGCCTCTCGGCGCTCGCCGGCGTGGCCTGTTTCCCCCTCTCAATCCCCTCCTCTTCCGTTCCTCACTTTGGTCCTCCCAGCCTCGTCTTCTTCGCCCTCTCTGCCCTAACTTTTCTCCCTCCCCGGGCCGCGCCGGGAATGTGAAAGCCCCACCCCCAAGGAGAGCGGTCCCCCCACCCCTGGCCTCGGGGCTTCTGTGAGGTTTTCCCTGCGTGCCGGCGTTTTTCCGGTGTCGACCTCCGGGTTTTATCGCCTGGGCTACCATCTCCCGGCTCCTTAACCTCTCTCCCCTGGAAGGCCAGAATCGATAAGCCCCAGACGTGCTGGGCCGGCCCCGCGGTTCAGTGGCACCCGCGCGGGGGTCCTCCCCGCCTGGTTTTCCCTGCTTCACGGTTCCGGGCTCCTTCCCGAGGCGTTGTCGGTGTTTTGTTTAAAACAGCTCTGAAAGGAACACCCCCAAGTGTAACGTCTTGAGTTGGTTTTCCGTTCTCTGCCTGGTTGGCAGGCGCGGTGTGTGTGTGTGGTGGGGGAGGTGAGGGGGTCGGTTAAGGAAAAATAGTACGCTTGTGTTCACACGTTTGTTGTCAGCGTCCGGGAGAAACAATCACAGTTTGAAATTTGAGCCTCGAGCAGGCTGAGCCTCGGCTGGGCGATGATGGAGAAACCAGCGTAGAGTGTTTTCGGATTTTCTTGGTAGTGACTTTCACTTGCGGGGTTCGGCTGGGGACGTTTTATGAGTGACTGACCCAAGCGTCGAAATGGGAGTGCGCCTAGGATGCGTTTTGCTTACTCTCCAGTGTAAAGGGTGCCTTTAACATTTCCTGAGAAAAGCTGAGCCGAAGGGCGTTAAGTGCCTTTGATGTATTCACGACCTGTGTTGGGCAACATTTGGAACAGGAGACATGTACCTAGCAGTGCTTTGGGGGAGAGGGAGAACAATAAGTGGTGCCTTCGAAAAGTTCCTGGGAAGAGAGAATTAAAAGCTAAGTTTGTTTTGGTGTAAAAGCAGATTGAAATCTTCACGGAGTTGCCCCACCGCCCCCCGTAATTCACATTTTCCATGAACTTTTTGAAGATACCGCCTTTAAAAAGTAACACAATAGCAGTGTTGGTCTGAGTCTCTGGGATGTTTGCTGTGTAATCAAACAGATACTACTTAAATATTTGTAGTTACCCATGTACTTAAGAAGATAGAAATTCAGATAGTATGTAAATGTACAGAGACCCATAGCCTAGACAGAAAAGTTACCAGAGTGTTTTTGTACTCATTTTCATCTCTTAAACTTTTGAAAGAAAAAATATATATACATATATATATATAATATCACATCCCCACTAATCCATTTTCAACACGTATTAATAGAGAAGTCCAATTACATGTCAGTCCTCAAGCTCACATGGGAATTTCTGTTAAAAGCTCTGAGCCCTCTCACCGAGAGAATCTAACCAAAATAGTCATGTGATTTCATGGGCTTCACAAATCTGAAGGTCTTTCCTGTTTTATTTTATAGCTGCCCTGTTTCTCTTACATTCTAGATTTTGGGCTTTTTACATTGCATCTATGTATTTTGCTGTGCCTCAACATGTGATTCTGGAGTCGTGCACTCTTTAGGCCCAAGGTTTTGGTGGGGATTAAGTAGCCTTCTCTTGCTCCGCAAATATTTGGTGTGCATCGGTTGTATGCCAGCTACTGTGATGATGACTGTGGTAAACTGAGAGAATCTACTCTGAATTTTTTTTTTTTTTAAGATTTATTCATCCATTTATTTGAAAGGCAGAGTTAGAGGGAGAAAGTAGGAGGTGGAGGAGAGATTGATCTTCCACCCACTGGTTCACTCTCCAAATGCCCAGAGCCAGGAACTCCACCTCAGTTTCTCAAGTGCCATCTTCAGCTGCTTTTGCAGGCACGTTAGCAGGGAGCTGGGTTGGAATTGGAGCAGCCGGGACTTGAACTGGCAGTGGGTCTACTGCTGTGCCATGCTGGCCCCTAAAATCTTTTTTGAATACCATCTATTATTGTTGATTTTCTGGTTTTTTTTGTGTGTGTGTGTGTGTTTTTTTTTCTTATCCTCGCCTTGCATTCTTTCCCTTCTTGGAAAAGTCTCTTTTTGAAATTTATTTTTTATTCATTAGAAAGGTAGAGAAGCAGAAAGATCTTCTGTCTGATGGTTCATTCCCCCAAATTCCTGCAACATCTGCAGCTGTGCCAGGCTGAAACAAGAACCAGGACCTCCATCTGGGTCTCTCATATGGGTGGCATGTTCTCAAGTACTTGAACCATCACCTGCTGCCTACCAGGATGCACATCACCAGGAAGCTGGGTTGGAAGAGGAGCAGGGACTTGAACCCAGGCACTCTGATGTGGCTTGTGGGCATCCCAAGCAGTGTCTTCGCTGCTGCAACAGATGTCCACCCCTGATACTCTGTTCCTTGTTGATTTCTGTTTTTAAATGACTGACTGATTTATTCAAAAGGCAGAGTGACAGAAATATTTCATTGGCTGGTTCACTCACCCAAATGCCCAAAACAGCCAGGGCTGGGCCAGGCCGAAGCCAGGAGCCAAGAATTCCATCTGGGTCTCCCGCGTGTGTAGCAGGGACTTCAACATCATTTGCTGCTTTTTCAGGTGCAATATTGGAGAGCTGGATTGGAAGGTGGAGTGTTGGGACTCCAACTGGCCCTCTGATATGGGATGCCTCTGTCTTAAGCAGCAGTAGCTTTCCTTGTTGATTTTTTTTTTTTTTGAAGATTTATTTATTTGAAGAGCAGAGTAATAGAGAGGCAGGCAGAGAGAGAGAGAGAAAGAGGTATTCTGTCAGCTGGTTCACTCCCCAGATGGCCACACAGCTGGAGCTGGACCGATCCGAAGTCAGGAGCCAGGAGCTTCTTCTGGGTCTCCCACAAGGGTGAGAACTTGAGCCATCTTCTACTGCCCTCCCAGGCCACAGCAGAGAGCTGGATTGGTGGTGCCCATATGGGATGCCAGCACTGCGGGTGGCAGCTTCACTCACTATGCCACAGCACTGGCCACTGCCTTATTGATTTTTGGTAGGCTTGTTTTCTTGTTAACCTTCCTTCAAATTCCTGAGATGGTCTGTTTTTCATTCTTTTCCTTTTCTAGGGCATTTGGATAAATCTGGCTTCCTTTTCCTCAGCTGAAACGCCCCTTTCCTTCTTATAGGAGGTCTGGTTCCTTTCCTCTAAAACTGTTACCATTTTCTCCTTGAGTCCTTGTTATTCCTGCTTTTTAATCTTACAGCTCTAGGTAGGCTGAGTTCTTTTGAATTAATGATGCTTGTTCTTCCATTTCCATTTCTCCTCTCTGTGCTCCTGAAGCTGGCCCTGTGTTTCCATAGTCACGTAGTAACAGGACCAATATCCTCATCTAGGAGTAGCACATGATTCTCAGAGACCACTGCCACAGACTGGGAGGAGAGGCAGAGGATGAGGGTAAAAAACTTACAAAGATCATTTAGCCTCCCTTTCTCGTCTTGTCATCTTCCATCAGAGTGACTTCACTGTGTGTTTGAAGTTCAAACTACAGCACATTTGACTCTTCTAATGATTTTTAAACCCAGTAAACATTGAGGTACACAAATAAAGTGAGTGCCTGGAAGGCTGTTAATTCTGTCTTGGCCATGTCATAATGTTATGTCACACTTGTCCTTCCCCAGTCTCGGCCCCACCTGTTCCTTATTTCACGTTTTGGATGAAGTCCTGGGGTTCTGTTTCAAAGAGAATGAGTGACATTCAGTTGATCTGTTTTCTAAAAATACTTCAAAGTCCTCTGACGAGTTCTGAGTCTCTCTTTTTTTTAATAAAAGTTTTGTTCATTTTTTTCTTTCAGATAATTTATAAAGTAGTGTATGAGGGAACTTCAGAAAATTCATGGGAAAATCGGAGTTTCAGAGCAGGCAGAACCCTAGCAGTTAGAATACCTGTGGGGAGCAACTCGGGCTAGACTAAGTTACTGGAATTAAGACTTATTCTATGCATCTGCTCTCCCACAATATGGCGCTGGGAGAGGAGTAAACAGCTTTTACACAGCTGCCTCCAGTTCGACCAATAACCTGCAGGAGCTGATCCTGCTCCTGATTGGAGGAGAGCAGCGTACTCGGCGTGTGGGTAGCAGAGTTGGGATTGGTGGAAGAGGACTATAAAGGAGGAGAGAGACAGCATGCACCAGGAACATCTAAGGGGAACATCTGAGCAGCCCCCGAGGGAGCCGGCCGGCGGTGTGCCGCTCCCCCGCGGAAGTGGGGAAAGTGGCAGGGGGAACTGCCCTTCCACGGAGGTGGAGGGACAGCAGCCAATCTGGAAAGGACCAGCAGCAAACCCGGGAAGGGCCGAGCAGACAAAAGAACAGCGCAGGGTCCTGTGTCGTTCCTCCGCGAAGAGGAGGAGCGACAAATACCCATTTTTTTTCCCAAGATTTTATTTATTTATTTGAGAGGTAGAGCTACAGACAGTGAAGGGAGAGACAGAGAGAAAAGTCTTCCATCAGCTGGTTCACTCCCCAAATGGGTGCAATGACCGCAGCTGTGCCGAGGAGCCAGGAGCTGGGAGCCTCTAGTGGGTCTCTCATGCAGGTGCAGGGGCCCAAGGATTTGGGCCGTCTTCTACTGCTTTCCCAGGCCATAGCAGAGAGCTGGATTGGAAGAGGAGCAGCTGGGACTAGAATCAGCAACCATATGGGATGCTGGTACCACAGGCAGAAGATTAACCTGTGCCACAGTGCCAACCCCAGGGTACCCATGTTCTACATCAGTGCCTGGGTCCAGTTCCTGGCCCTGGTACCTGGCTGCAGCTACCTGCCATTGCAGAACCTTGCGGGTAGCAGTGAAGACTCAAATAATTGGGTTCTTGTCACCCATGGGGGACATTTGGGTTGTATTACTG